TCCTCATTCATCTGCTCCCCACTCTCCAGCTCCTCATTCATCTGCTCCCCACTCTCCAGCTCCTCATTCATCTGCTCCCCACTCTCCAGCTCCTCATTCATTTGCTCATCACTCTCCAGCTCCTCATTCTCTGCTCCTTACTCTCCAGCTCCGCTTTCATCTGCTCCCCACTCTCCAGCTCTTCATTCATCTGCTCCCCACTCTCCAGCTCCTCATTCATCTGCTCCCCACTCTCCAGCTCCTCATTCTCTGCTACTTACTCTCCAGCTCCTCATTCTCTGCTCCTTACTCTCCAGCTTCTCATTCTCTGCTCCTTACTCTCCAGATCCTCATTCATCTGCTCCCCACTCTCCAGCTCCTCATTCTCTGCTCTTTACTCTCCAGCTCCTCATTCTCTGCTCCTTACTCTCCAGCTCCCCATTCATCTGCTCCCCACTCTCCAGCTCCTCATTCTCTGCTCCTTACTCTCCAGCTCTTCATTCTCTGCTTCCCACTCTCCAGCTCCTCATTCTCTGCTCCTTACTCTCCAGCTCCTCATTCTCTGCTCCTTACTCTCCAGCTCCTCATTCTCTGCTCCTTACTCTCCAGCTCCTCATTTTCTGACCCTCACTATTCAGCTCCTCATTTTCTGCTCCTCACTCTCTGGCTCCTTATTTTCCGCTCTTTATTTTTCAGCTTTTTATGATTCCTAGCCTCTTTGAAATGCTCCTCACTTGAGATGCACCGATCCGATACTGATATTGAATCGTGGGCTGATACTGACTCAAATTTCTGGATCGGGTATCTGTGACAGTGGGACTGATAGATGGGACTGATCTATTCAATTAAATTCTATGTCTGTCATTGTATTTTTATGTCCACGTACTGCTTGATGTGTCAGCAGTGCGCCAGTAAGCCGGTTGGTTTTGCTCGAAGGAGAGCTAACATACCATGGAGGGAGCTAAAAAGTCAGCACTTCTCAGCTATTTTACTCTTGCGGTTCTACGGCTCTGTTCTATTATTGCAAAGCCAGGGTTTCAAGGGGTGATGGCAGCACTGAAAAGTTTAACACAACCAATTTAATCAAGCACCTCCAGAAGCTTGGAAATGTTTCCCTGAGACCTGAACTCTACAAAGACGTTTGTGAATGTTTTTCAGAAGAGTTAAAAGATGTACAGTAGCAGAGATGAGCTTCACCACAGACGCTGCCACTTTCAGGTTTAATAATGCGCAAGTTACTTGTTTGCACTAATTTTGTGAATGATTTAATTTATCAAGTTTGTTTGCAGTAGTTTGCAACTTTAATTCTGATTTAATATTTACATTTTGTTCTCATTTAAAACAGTTGTATTGTTTTATATTAGAATTTTAATTCCTGAGTAATTTGTTGCTGTAATAAAAGGCTTATACTTGAATTTCTGTTAATTTTAAAGATTTTTTTTTTACCAAGTTCCTGGTGCGTGATTATTTATTTTAACAATAAATAACAATTCAGTAAACTTCAGTAAAATTGTTACATTTTGTTTTACAGAGTTAGGAAAGCAATGTGAAAGTCAAGCGTGATGTTTACTCACACATAAAAGAATGATCCCAGTCTGTTTCACACAGTGAGCCATACAGCTTATTGATTAAATACTGGTATTGGATTGGTGCTTGGTATCGGCTTATACCCAAAGCCCAGGTATCGGTTTCGGGACTGAAAAAGTCAGATCGATGCATCCCCACTCTTCACCCCATATCACCTTATCATTCTGCTGTTTGGTTCATCTATATTATTGTTATCTGTTCCTCGAAATTGCCATTATCCTGGAAAGCAGGTTTCACTCTTTTGCACCTCTGAATGTGTCTCTGCTCTGTATATTTATTAAGATGACTGTATGAATATTCTCTGCTGTTGTTTACTTCAATGATTAATCTGCACTGGAGGTGTCCAATCACACTGTGTGTGCTGGCTGCATTTGAGACTCTTTATTTGTGTCCCAGCTGATTCATTAAAAACATTGTTTACAGAAAACACCCACTACATGAACTGCTGTTTGTAAAATACAGTAGGTCAGAAAGCCTGCCAGTGGCATTTACCTTACAAACAATAAAAATGAATGGAATGTGACACAATAGTGACGTCACAAAACGTAGTGGCCTAAGTCTAGACTATTATGCACAATCATGGATGGTGTGCCAAAACATTATGGGATGGATGAAGTGCCAGATCATCACTGTATGGCTAGTTGTATGTAATAAGTACTAGATCATCAAATATGTAGTTTTTTGTATAGAGACATATAAACATTTGATTCTCTTTCTGTTGATGAATGAGTAGTGGGTCACTATTGTGAGTATTGCAAGTAGTGGGTAATATGTACTCTTCCACCTCTACCTGTGATTGCGGGGGGCAGAAAGTGGAGACGCCCTTGCACATGGCTGCACGGGCGGGACATTGTGAGGTGGCCCAGTTTCTGCTGCAGAACATGGCACAGGTGGATGCGAAGGCCAAGGTACAGCTGCATGGTTTCTACTGCAGTCCAACAGCATGATTAATAGAACAGTACATCTGTATGATCTCTCTGACAGTGCAGCTACATGGAGTTCCCCATGATAGAGAGACAAACAGGCAGGTAGACTGACTGACTGACAGGCAGGCAGACAGATAGACAAATAGAGAGACAAACAGAGAGTGAGACAGACAGAGAGTGAGACAGACAG